ACCAATCACAACAGAGCCGGCCAGCTAACCAATCAGAGCAGACTGGGCTCTGGTTTCAGACAGAGGGTGAAAAGAGGTGCTGCAGCACAGGCAGTATGAGAACAATAAAGAGCTTTTTGAACATTAAAGCATGGAAACATAGAGGCAACACATACTAATATGAAACTGAAAATGAGCACCATATGTCCTTTTTTTAAGTTAGAAAATGAATGCAGTGCAGTGAAAGCATTATAGGAGGACTGGAAGACAAAGGAGACACACACTGCATTGTATTCCAGCTCAAACAAAGCCTCTTAGTGCCTCTCTGTGTTTACACTGATGCAAACATCATCTGATCTCCAGAGCCAGCAGTGAAGTCATGAAACCCTGACTTCATCCTGCAACCTTATCGTGGTTCTTTGGGTGCCAAACCCTCCTTATCTGTGTGTGTACAGATTATCAGGAACAGTCAGTAAATTACTAGTTTCTTATTTCAAGCACTGGATTGCATTGAACCGGATAACATTGAGAACGTTTTAAGGAGTATACTTGTTTTATAGTGTGACGGGGTTCTTTTTGTCCGTTCTTAAACATAGGCGTAGTCGGTTGATTTAAGCTCAAAAAGTTGTATTTATAACGACAATTAAAATATATACTGTTTGACCTGAATATCAAAACAGAGTAAATTAAATCAAAGTTATCAAAATCAAGTTTTCTTTCACTTAAAGCTCCCATGTCATGCTTTTCCGGTTATTACCCGTCCCCTTGTGTGTTATGAAGGTTTTTATGCATGTAAACGGTGTGCAGAGTCAAAACCCTCAAAGTACACCCTGTAGCGAGTAAAACTCTAACACAGAAAATACCTCCCCAAAACGCCTCGTTGGAGATACGTCACTGCCCATTTGAGTCTTCCATTTAGTTCCGGGTACCGCCTGATGTCATGCGGTACCCGGAACGAAATGGACCAATCCCGAAGAGCTATGGCCACACCAGCAGCGGCGTGTTCCTCCTCCAGAGGTTCGATGAACCGGCATTTCACAGACGAAAGCTTCCAAAAACATTGCCCAGTTTGAGGCCGGATATGCACAGCTTGTTTGGACCGTTTGGAGCAGGGGAAGATCTGGGTATACAACCTGTAAGTTTGCATTGTTATTTGTGTATTTATCAAACAAGACTGTTTAAATGTGTAAACTGTGTTGGACTGCTAAGCCATTGACACAGTGCTAACTGTGCTAACTAAGTTGCTAGAGTTTCCATATATCAACTCTAATATCAGCAGATGGCCTTGCATACATGTATCTCATAGCAGGAGAATGTCTGCATTCACACACAAAATACCTATTGACAGTATACTGCGGGTGATTTGCCGGTCAGTCGCGAAACGTAATTACATTATAGCTGGCGTAGCGATCTAACACACGGAGCTTGAGCTAGTTTTGGTCAGAAAAACATTTTTGTGATGCTACGTTGCTAGCGTTTAAATATATCAACTACAATGTCAGCAGATGGCCTTACATGTTTGTCATGGCAGGAGAATGTCTGCAGTCACACACACGGAATACTCATACAGTATACTCCGGTTTACCGTACATTGTGACCGTACATATACTGCATGTAGCTAACGAGGCTAGCTGTATGCTAGCGCAAAACAATGTATTCATGCAAGTTACATTGTATGGTAGCAGAATACCCGTATACGATTGCAATTATAAACACGTTATTGCTAGCCTAATATGAACCACTAGCTTTTGTTCATAGTAGTTTTATTACACTGCATTATAGTTGCCTTTCCTCCAAGCTAACGTTCATATCGTGTTAGCTACCAAGGTAAACAAAGCTAGGTTAGCATATTAGCAGGCAAGCTGTTCATTACACAACTACTACTAACGAATCTAAAACAACTAAGTTTCTCTAATATTTTGTGATTTGCATTTGATTTCGTCCAGCCAGATCCTGGCGGACAATCCATGACGGGGAAGGGATTCTACTACTACTGAGGCGTCGTGCTAAAAGGCACCGCACCGCACCGGCTGTGCGCAGGCAAGAGGAGGAGGAATGGATGATATACCGTGTATATATGTATATTTATGTTCATTTTGTACATTTCTAAAAATAAAGTTTAATGGAAATACTTAGTAGGCCTATCCTTTCTTCCCTGAATTCATATATAGCAAACCATGATTTGATTTCTCATCAAACAGTAGTAGTTTATAACGGGTAAAAATAACTTACTCTTTGTTATGAGCGGCTCGTAGGCCACAACGGAAAGACAAGGAGACATACACGAGTTTACAAAACCACGGCACATTTATTGTGGTAAATGCAAAGATAGGTGGTTGAGAGGATCGCAGAGTTAGTCTTCCTGCAGCCGCTTTGGAGAGAGACTGGGGCCGTAGTGTCCGGAGGTGTCCGTGATCGTGCTGATTAGCTTCTTCAGCTCCACCCCATCGTAAGACAAAGGCCCTGGGGCCGTCACACTCTTCTATAACAACAGTTAAAAATATATATGTATATAAAATATACCGCTGTACCGACGCCATGATAAGACTGATGTTACGCTGAGAGCAGCCGGGAAAAGCACTGACATGGGCGCAGCCTCTCTGGTGGTTGACTAATCAGAACGAGTGGCCGAGCTGACCAATCGGAGCACACTAGGCTCACAGGGAGGGGGGGGCAAGAGCTCCAACGAGTCGTTTAGTGGAGAAAGTGAATACTGCTGAATACACATGCTTGACAGAGATGCTGTATGCGAAACCAATGTGAGTTTGGAAAATTGCACAGTATAAATCTATTTTAGTATACCTCAACAATGTAATTATGATCAGTGGAAATGGCCATGACATGGGCCCTTTAAATATAATTGTACATGTCCGAAACCAATGTAGTTCAAATTAAGTTAACATTACATTACATTACATGTTACTTGTTAGACGCTTTTATCCAAAGCGACTTACATACTCAATACTGTGGACAATCCCCACAGGAGCACTTTGGGGTGAAGTGTCTCAGGGACACAACGACATGCTGACTGCAGTGGGGTTTGAACCTGTGACCCCCTGATCCCAACACCTACCTATCCACTGCACCACACGCCTCCCCAGCTAATTCAAGTTAAGAACTTGAATTAGCTGGTATCTCCTTTTGTCTGTCTGGTTAGAAATATAATCTGATCAAGTCTTTTCTTATGTCCCTGTAAACCTAGGGAATACAAGTAGCGTTTGTTGTATCCTAATTATGCCGTTATATGTAATCCATTACTCCCTATGGGTAGACGTCTCCTTCTTTACCCACATTTATAATAGTGAATACATGTAAAAGCAGTGGTGTGTGGAGTCTTTATTTCTCAGTTACACAACAGACAACAGCCTTTAGGAGACTTTGTGGTCACATTATTGATCCCACTGAGATCAGATCAGATGAAATGGTATTGATCCCTGTTGGAACATTTGGGGTGTTGTAGAAGTAAAGAGGATTTAATGTTACCCTTGCGAAGTCCCTGCCGCACATTATGAAGGGAACACTGGGATTTAAGCCTTTGCTAATATCAGGGTATATGCAGGAATCCTGAAGTCAGATTTAATACCTTTTAAAAGCTTTTTTAAGACCCTTTCCATACATTTTAAGACCTCATCGCCACTTCGAGTTTGAACCGGTTACATTGGCGACACACTTTACCTCACATTTACCATATACAGTATTGATTGTCCTTCCTCCTTATCTTCCAACCATTTGGACGCAGACTTGCATTTCCCCATAACGATGTTGTTTAACAACCGGCGTAAACGGACCTTCGCACGCTATCAAGCAGTGAGCGTGCGATGTCCTGTTCAGATGACGTCAAATCCAACGGGATGCCATAAATAAACTACAGAATCACACTACACACCTACGCAATGATTACATTCAGGCACACTGTAGAATACAACCTCTTTGGACAATGTATATACTTATTGAAAACAAGCTTCAAAATGTAATACCTTGGGAAATGCCGTTTAATAGTTTTTCATACTTTTTGATAGCCTTAATTTTCGCTAAATTGATTTATCAACTTTTAATACTTTTTAAGACCCCGCGGACACCCTGAATAATTATACTAAACATAATCAAAATGATAGCAACTGAGACATGAGGCATGTTAGATTTGAAAGGGATAGATGTAGAAGTGATCGTTAAACTGATGAAATGATCAACATTTGGGAGACTTATCGTAGCATAGCTTTCTGCTCGAGATATTTTTCTGCTGAACAATGCTAAAAAACAACATGTGATTATTGATGGTTTAAATATCCACCTGAAAGGGAGTATAACACCTTTGAGGTTCTCTTATGCACGATTGGGGCGTAATGGATTACATGTGATTAATTAATGAAGGGTATACTCTAGTTTTGTTTCAGGTTAGTTTTGCAGAAGTGGTTAAAAAATGTAAGTTACTATTTAATTGCATAATTCTGATACTTGTAATCTAGCTATCAGAAGATCCTATGAGGGCATTAAAAACCAGGGAAATTGGCTATTTTAAGGGATAGCCAAGGCTTTGTACCGATCCACTTCTGCAAGGACAAAATAAAGAGTATAGGCTTAAAAAGGAAAGCACGCTTTAATAAACAATAATATTAAAACAAAATAAGTAGAACAATAGATACACCATTGTAAATAAAAAGAATTAGCAGTATTTTTTCCGGGAAAATGTGAACATATAAAAGTATTGAAGTCACCGATATAAAAAAAATTGTTTTAAGAAATACAATCAAGTGTAAATTGCACAAGAGCAGTGTTGTTGCACAATGTTATTATATTTACAGGCAGGGTTATTGAAACTATAGGGTATATTTTGCAGCATCAAAATGAAGCCTTAAGTCCAGCCTGGAGCATTAGAAACACTGGAAGTATTCTTTAGTAATAACAGTGAAATAAATCTGAAAGTGAAATCTGTCTGGACTTCGTGTTTCTTCTGCTTTAAATGTGCGTGTGTGTTTACGTGAGCGCTTACTACGTATGTTACGTAATGAGCGTAGCAGTGGGGCAGCAGGGGCAGCAGCAGGACGGATACTGTGAAGAAATACTGTCAATAAAACACGATTTCCTTTCTGTCAGCAGGCTCCAGAGGAATACACAGAGTCAAAGCATGTCGGGAAGGAAATATATTGACAGTCTGCAGTAGCTTCTTATTTACAGAGGCTGTTTCCTCCACAGTCTGACAGGTGAGTGACAGCGGTTTCTGTCCTCTGAAACACTTCCGGTCTGTTTCAGGCAGTAACCGTGCTAACGTTGTGTCTTCAAAATTAAAATAACCTGGAACAAATCATTAGAGACCTGCTCATCCATGTTTTGAGGCGGTGTGTGTGTGTGTCTTTTCTCTGTGCCGTTCATGGTGCTGTTGCGTCTCTGAAAATGTACACATGTCACTGCGCATGCGCGATGCTTTATGTATTCCAGGGGAGATTTGGGTTTTACTGATAGTTGCTTATTTTATTTTATTTCTATAAAATACAATAAAATAATAAAATAAAACTAAATGAAATAAAATAAAACATATTTTAAATAAACATAAGAACTTAAAGGTAAAAAAAAATGGCACATTGTTCTGCAATTATAACACAAATATGTCTATAAACAGGGGTGTATTAGCATTAGTAAACATATATATCATTGCTTGAAATGTTCACTTTACAACAGTGATAATCCTGAGGGATATTGCGCAGTTAAATAGTTGCAAAGGTTTTAAAGTTTTGTAATTAGTTGTATTACTTATCTTTGTATTGTCTATACTGCATTGGGTCCTAGTTCATTGTCCATGGATGTATTTGGAGATATTTAAGACATCCCCCCCCCCGTTTATATTAAGTTCTTTGTACAAACTAAATTGCTAAATAAACACTTAATTACTTAATGCATTTAAACTAAATAAAACTAAATTTCTAAAGAATAACAAATCAAATATAATAAATAAGAAAATAAGTATAATTCATAATAAATACAAATAGAATATGCTATGAATATTATAAAATGTATTTTATTATAAAACATTTAAATAGAGTTACTGTTTACTGTTGTGAAAGTTATATGTAAATGCATTTCATGTTTCCCTTTTTCCCCAAGGTGAAAGTAGCAATGCCTGAAAGACATGTCTCACAAAGAAGATAATAAAGGGAAAGGAAGGTGAGCACAAACTAACAGCATGACATTTCCAAGAAAGCTCCTTTAGTCAATGGGTTAAATGAGCCCTTTATTCTGCTTATAATCAGGTGATACAGATTTGAAATTGTTCTGACGTCAGAAAAAGGAAGCTCCGCCTATATGGGCAACTCTCCACCTATCAGGGGAATGAGAGGTTGCCGTGGCATGGTAACAGCATGGTAACATGACGCTCGTGCCTCACCCCCCTCCTTTGCAGGGGGGCGTGGTCAGCTGCAGCTCATTTGCCACAGAATCAGCCCTTGCAAAAACAGGGCTGGAATACAGCAAATAGAGCGAAATGAGGCATGGCTAAAATGCATGATCTGTTTGCTATTTAAAAAAAATAACTTCACAGACATGTTTTATATAGGTATGGCCCTACAATATATTATTCAAATATAGCATGATAGGTCCACTTTAAAGAGTCCTCTCCTGCTGATGTTCAGGTGTATATCAGTATGTAATGTCTCTACTTTAAAGAGTCCTCTCCTGCTGATGTTCAGGTGTATATCAGTATGTAGTGTCTCTACGTGTCTCCATGCTTTAAGGTTCAGAAAGCTCTTTATTTTTCTCATACTGCCTGTGCTGCAGCACCTCTTTTCACCCTCTGTCTGAAACCAGAGTCCAGTCTGCTCTGATTGGTTAGCTGGCCGGCTCTGTTGTGATTAGTCAACCACTTAGAGATGTCCCGCCCCTTAGCCAATCACGTACAATGTGTTGGAGTGCTAGCCAATAGAAGCGCAAGTCTTACATAGTGATGTCACTATGTTCAGGAAGTAAACAAAGGAGTCCAATGGAGGCGTTTCTGGAGGGGATTTTAGTCTCTGTAGACCATTTACATGCACAAAAAACACATTATAGGAAAGGGAAAAACCCCAAAAAGCATAATAGGGCCTCTTCAATAAATCCATGTATAAGTGGCCCTTCTGCAACTTTTTTTACTTTCCCTTTTCCAGCTCTCACCACACAGATCTGTACGCCCGCATCCCGCTGACATGTCTGCCCATCGTGTACCACCCGGACTACAACATCACCTTCATGGGCCTCGAGAAGCTGCATCCGTTTGATGCAGGGAAGTGGGGGAAAGTCATTCACTTCTTGAAAGGTGAGAGGAAAAAGAGAAACAGAGTGAAAGATGGGGAGAGTGAATCCCTGAGGAGACATACAGAATCAGAATCAGAATACCTTTTATTAGTCCCACAGAGGGGACATTTACATTGTTACAGCAGAAAAGAGCCACAGACAGCTTAATGTTAACCAGAGGTGGGAAGTAGTGGAGTACAAATACTTCGTTACTTAAAGGTGGGGTAGGTAAGTTTGAGAAACCGGCTCGAGATACACTTTTTGTTATATTCCATGGAATGCTCTTAACATCCCGATAGCAATGAATATCTGAAATGCTTTGACAAAAAATCCATAAAAAAATGTAATCTGTGGAAGCCGTAGTACTGTAAAAAGCACGACCAATCATTTTAGCCGGCCCGGCTAAAATAACTGGATGGCCTACCTGCCTGTCAGCCTTCCATCTGTGCACAAACTTATCTCGTGCCCTCATTGGTCATGTGCGCGTTCGTGTGTGTTGGAGGATGGGCTCTGTAAGGAAGTGGCAGATTTTTTCTGGCTGTGTATTTTCAAATTCTAGCGCACTCGAGCTGGTTTCTCTAAAATGACCTACCCCACCTTTAAGTACATTTTTCTGGTATCAGTACTTTACTCCACTACTTATTTTTCTGACGACTTTCTACTTCTTACATTTTCAAAACAGGTTGGTTACTTTAGTTTTAATCTGTGTTTGGTGGCGTGCCTATTTACAAAATACACATCCTTTAACAGTTCTGAAGATTTAGCAGCCAGGTATATATTGCACAGATATTAACGGCATATATATATATTGCACATATTGCACATAGTTGGTATTTAACAACAAGAGGTGTTAATTCAATTCATTCAAAGGGTTTATTGTCATGTGCACAAAGCTACAGTGTAGAAATGGCAATGAAATTCTTCTGACCTGAGCTGCTCCAACGATGCAACATATATAATAAAATACAGAAATACAAAATAAAAAGTAGTGCAAAAAGTCTATAGTCTGTGTTGTTATTTGTGTGGGGGGGTCTACCAGGGACCATGATGATACAGGGAATCACTCAGAGGGAGAACAAAGAGAGGAGAGGGAGATGGAGTTGTTGATCGAGGAGGAAACACTCGCTGAGGGAGGCTGTGCAGGATTCAAAGATTCAAAGGTTGTATTGTCTTATGCACAGAGCTACAGTGTAGAGATGGCAATGAAATCTTCTGAGAGGGAGTCAGGTGACAAGGCCAGGCAAAAACTGCTAGCTGGCACAACTGCATGCAAAAGTGAGAAAGTGTCGTCCACAGCTTAATTCAAACACATTGAGGAGCTAAAAGTGCACATAGAACTCTGACTCTGCTGACGGAGGAAAACCTTGATTCTTCTATGTTTACCTTGGCAATATGTGGTCAAAGTGGTTATTTTTAAGGTTAGGTGTACTTTATTCATACCAAGTTGGGAAAAATGTTCGACACAGCAGCAGAAAGTATTACACATGATTTATATATATAATACAAATACATAGAAATAGATAGAAATGTAAGATAAATATGATACATATCAACTGTAGGAAAGATACAGTATATCATTTGAGTATCTGAAGAATACACAATATAACAAATACTGAATAAATTAGAATTTTTTTATTTAGACAAAACTAAAAATATAAATAAACCTGCTTTTAATGACTTACAAGGCTTTACATAACCTTGCCCCTACATATATCAGTCATTTTACAAACTTAAAGGGGACCTATCATGCAAAATGCACTTTTTGATGTCTTTTATACATAAATATGTGTCCCCGGTGTGTCAGGGAACTCACGCAGTGTCAGAAAATAAAACCCTCTCTCTTTTCCTCCGTACCCAAATCTCTAAAAACGGGGCTACAACGGAGCTGATCCAGATTTGCGTCCGATATGACGTAATATCTGAAATGTGGACCCACGGCCCAATCAGAAAAGTTGCTATCAGAAACAATGCCCGACTGTTTTGGACGTAATATGGTCGGTGTTTACATTAGCATCGCTAACACTCAGAGCTAACCTGTACTGGAGAGCATGTGTGTGAAGAAGCAGGAAATAAAAAGGAACTCACCTTGTGGTATAACCGGCAAGAGAGAAAGCCTTTGAGCTCCATACTGTTTCAGAGATAATCCTTGATAATCCATGATATGGCGTTTCATCACGGCAGTATTTAGTTTAGACAGTAGCTGCTGGGTCCCGCATGAGCTCAGACCCCTCCTTTTTTATTAAAATAATTATACCCCAATCAGCCCTTTAGAAACAGGAAGTGAAATAGAGGGATATGAGGCATGGCTAGAATGGGTGATCTGTTTGGTATTTTGAGCAAAACACTTCATAGACATGTTTTTTATATATTTGTATATATCTGAGACCTATGCTATTGCCTACAAATAGCATGATAGGTGCACTTTAAAGAACACTCAGTTCCTCCAATGCATTTATTTTTTATCTTTTTTTGATGGATTTAAAAAACAAATGTGTATTCATATTGTTATTTATTATTATTAATATTTGTTTTATGGTGTGCAAACCTGCTCGTTTTTTAAGACTGGTACAATATTTTTTGTAAAGCGTCTTTGAGCATTTGTTATATGGAGTGTTTTTTCATTTGTATTAATATTGTTAATTATTTAATATCATCATTTTTAAGTAATGTGCAAACCTGCTAGTTTTGTCACCACAACGATCAACTTTTGGGGAATTCTTGGGGATTTGCAGAATTATGGTGAACATCGACTCCTGCTTTAGTACATAGGTTTATTTTTTAGAATTGATGTTGAAGTCCAGCTTAGCCAGTTTTCAGTCTGGAGATAGTCTGAGTCTAACTGATCCTGTTTCTGTCTCAGAGGAGCAGTTTCTCACTGATGAGAACATGGTGGAGGCGCGAGAAGCTTCTGAAGAAGATCTGCTGGTGGTTCACACCAAACGCTACCTCAACAAACTGAAGGTCACTCAGATTACCCACAACACACCTCTCAGTATGACACTTAATAATGGCACTGATGCACAGGTTTAGGGTTTACATGTTGTACATATTGTCTTGTTTTTGTGCTGTTTTGTTTTTTGTTTTGTGTACCTTGAAAGGCGCCTTTATAATTAAAATGTATTATTATTATTATTATTATGATTATTATTACATGTAACAGGATTATGTTATCAGAATCCAATCAAATGTAACTGTATTGCCTTACAGTTACATACAGAAAGAAGTAATCATAGTGTTAAATGTCTAAGACTTGGATTATAGCGGGATGTTAAAATACATCTAAAATAAAGATCAAAATATTTTCATTTTGGCTACTTTCATTCTTCCTATTTTAAAAATGTGTTTTAGGTTAACGCCTAATTTATTAAACTTAAATACTGTGTTTGCTTTTAATTAATATATGCTCAAGACTAGGCTCATTATTACTGAAAAACTAAAACATATCAAACATAGTGTAACATATCGTAAAAAAATTAATTAAAAAAAAAAAAGTAATAGTACTAGTAGAGTAAAAAAACAATATGATAAATATGAAAAAAATTAATTAAACAAAGATTAGAAATATCAATTTTCTTTTAAATAATAATAATTGAAAAATGAAAAATAATAACACTACAGACAAAAAGGATTAACAAACAATACAGTCCCAGGTTTTAATAGCAAAACTAGATTTACATTTGTTTTAAATTGGAATGAGTTCCATAAGTGTAAACAGTTTTGGCGTCTTCATATACAGTGTGTTAGATTTTCCTGAGGAACCACCCAAAGTACACTTTATTTTTTCCGTGTGTAGAAACCTCACATATTCTCCTGTTTGGGTTTATTTACGTTTCAGTCCCTTTTAGGGGATAAAGTCACAGTTACAATATTTTAACCGTCACTAACTGTGTTTTGTATTAATCTCAGTGGTCTATGGTGGTGGCAAACATCACAGAAATCCCACCTCTCATCTTCCTGCCTAATTTCCTGGTTCAGAGGCGAGTGTTGAGGCCTTTGAGGACGCAGACCGGAGGAACCATAATGGTAGCTATTTGAGATTGAGAATTTGTTTCATTTATTCAGTAAACACAAATCCTTTAGTGAATGCAAACGCCACTTAGAGGTCACCTATTATGCAAAATCCACTTCTTCATGTCTCTTCTACATCAACATGTGTCCCCTCTTCTTCATGTCTCTTCTACATCAACATGTGTCCCCTCTTCTTCATGTCTCCTCTACATCAACATGTGTCCCCTCTTCTTCATGTCTCCTCTACATCAACATGTGTCCCCTCTTCTTCATGTCTCTTCTACATCAACATGTGTCCCCTCTTCTTCATGTCTCCTCTACATCAACATGTGTCCCCTCTTCTTCATGTCTCCTCTACATCAACATGTGTCCCCTCTTCTTCATGTCTCTTCTTCATCAACATGTGTCCCCTCTTCTTCATGTCTCTTCTACATCAACATGTGTCCCCTCTTCTTCATGTCTCTTCTACATCAACATGTGTCCCCCTCTTCTTCATGTCTCTTCTACATCAACATGTGTCCCCTCTTCTTCATGTCTCTTCTACATCAACATGTGTCCCCTCTTCTTCATGTCTCTTCGACATCAACATGTGTCCCCTCTTCTTCATGTCTCTTCTACATCAACATGTGTCCCCTCTTCTTCATGTCTCTTCTACATCAACATGTGTCCCCTCTTCTTCATGTCTCTTCTACATCAACATGTGTCCCCTCTTCTTCATGTCTCTTCTACATCAACATGTGTCCCCTCTTCTTCATGTCTCCTCTACATCAACATGTGTCCCCTCTTCTTCATGTCTCTTCTACATCAACATGTGTCCCCTCTTCTTCATGTCTCTTCTTCATCAACATGTGTCCCCTCTTCTTCATGTCTCTTCTACATCAACATGTGTCCCCTCTTCTTCATGTCTCTTCTACATCAACATGTGTCCCCTCTTCTTCATGTCTCTTCTACATCAACATGTGTCCCCTCTTCTTCATGTCTCCTCTACATCAACATGTGTCCCCTCTTCTTCATGTCTCTTCTTCATCAACATGTGTCCCCTCTTCTTCATGTCTCTTCTACATCAACATGTGTCCCCTCTGTGTAAAGAGACTCTGAAAGTTTCAGGAAAAAAGATTCTCTCTCTTTTTGTCCTGATCCATTTCTATAAAAACCTGTCTGAAAATGAGCTGATCAGATTTTGGTGTCATAACGATGTGTTGGCTTGTGTAACCATTAGCCAATCACCAACCAAGGTAACCCCCCCCCACCCCCCCCTTATCACCTGAATCTCCTCCTAGAGCACCATTGTGTTCTTTTTAACCAAATCTCTCTCAGAGGGGCGTGGGGAGGGGCTCCTTATTTTCATCTAAAGTAACAGACAGAGAATCAGCACTTTGGAAACAGGGCTGAAACAGAGGGGATTATGGGTAATGCTGCAATGATCTGTTTGGTGTTTGGAGCCAAACACTTCAGAGACATGTTTTATATATATCTGAGACCTATAATATATTGATGAAAAACAGTATAATAGGGGACCTTTAATGATTGTTTGCTTCATGTAAGTTGGAAAAGTTGATTTTTTATTTTGTCAATTGGTATTCTGATTAACTCGGAAGGGGACACTTTATTTATTTGTCTATGTTGATTTCAAAAAGGTATTTGAAGTTTGTTTTCTTTCTACCACAGGCCGGAAAACTGGCTATAGACCGAGGATGGGCTGTGAACGTGGGTGAGTGAGTTTCTAGTTCAGTAACCAAAAGAGATAATTGGATAGATGTATAGATATACAGTATACCATCGATACAGCCCATACTTTGTTCCCTTTAGTGTTTACTTCCTGTCTCTCTTCTGCTGACCCATTTAGTGTTTACTTCCTGTCCCCCTGCCCGATCTGTACTGCGCATGTGCGAGATGGTCCGCCATATTGGACAACTACATACGGCAACTCTAATAGGACACTTGACACAGTGGCTTTTGGCAAAGCAGAAAAAGAACTGATATAGATGAGTTATTGTTATTACAACGTGACTTCACTATTATTTAACAACTCTTTTTATTGGGTTCTTTTATTTGGGGTTAAATACATTGTCAGAAAAAGTGAGAAATGGATTTAACTTCTGTTATATGCCATACATTTTTGCATACATTCACAGTAAATATGTATTCAGTATGATAGCTGTAAATAAGATAAAAAGAGTTGTTAAATAATAGTGAAGTCACGTTGTAATAACAATAATCTCTCTCGGTTCTTTTTCTGCTTTGCCAAAAGCCACTGTGTCAAGTGTCCTATTAGAGTTGCCGTATGTAGTTGTCCAATATGGCGGACCATCTCGCACATGCGCAGTACAGATCGGGCAGGGGGACAGATCGGGTAGTGACATTCCCTTTAGTGTTTACTTCCTGTCTGTCTTCTTCTGCTGTTCCCTTTAGTGTTTACTTCCTGTCTGTCTTCTTCTGTTGATTTCTCTGATGTCCAGCGCTCTGTCTTTTAACCTCGTTCCTTCTCTTGTCCTCTTTTTATTTGTATATATTGGACATAGTTAAGCCATCATGAATCCAAAGTGTCTCTCCCTCCACAAATATAAAAATAAATATTCACAAAGTATCCCACTGTGTTTTCTAACAGATGGAAACTAATGCTTGTTGTCCACAGCTGATTATAAAATGTATCAGACTTCTTTCCGCAGATTGATATAACTGCACACAGTCTCTTGATCCTCTTAGCAACGGTCTGTTCTCCTTAACAACGGTCTGCTAGGAAAAAAGAGCAGACCTCTGGAATGTCCAAACTGACCAATCAGAATCAAGTATTCGACTAAATCGTGTAATAACCTGATTGAATGTTTATCGTCCCATTTTTTCCTCCTTGTGCTGTACATTACTGCTCTTCAAGCATTTCAGCATCAACACGTTGTGACACAGGGGACACAGCAGCTGTTATTATAAGCTGCTACAAACTCAATAAAACCAATTGCTGCTGTTGAGATAAATAGATTTCTCAGGTTTGCAATGACATGCTCATATGATGTCCTGACATTGATGCAGAGTTTTTCTGTTTCCCAGGAGGAGGTTTTCACCACTGCTCCAGCGACAGAGGGGGGGGCTTCTGTGCCTACGCTGACATCACTCTGGCCATCAAGGTAACTGTTGGATATTTATTGAAAGGCATCAAAAGTTTGACAAATAAATTGAAAAATAAAACACACACCCTTTTGGGTTAAATATATTCAGATTATAAGGATTTGTTTAACCCAAATGTACAGTCTGAAGCCTTTACTGGTGCATGATGAAAAAGAGAGACGAGCAACTTGCTAAGAAACACTGGTGTTAAGTACATTGTTAGCTCATTGGAAACACTCACCTAATGTTTGGAGAAGCCATTTTGTGTATGTTATTTGATTATGTGGAGCATGTTTTGGATTTCACTGTGCTGATGTTTATTATCGTTTTGATCGATGTTGCTATTACTCTAATTTTCATTGATAAATAGTAACCTCTAGGTGGCTTTTTTGCCCCTTAACTTAGGAATAGGTGTTGACTATGAGTGGAAGAGCAAACCATTTGATATGCAAGCTACCCATGTTACGCCGTATGGCTATGAATCTTCAGTTCAAAGTTAAACATTTGTATATACTACTCACTCTGCTTTCCTTCAAATAAAAGGATGACTAAATGGATGATTAGTGGGGAAGCACGTTGATGTTCTGACCGTTCATAGCAGCTGGCATTGCTTTACTTGGTCTATATGACTTGTAGCTTTTGTAGGCTAATTACAGCTAATGTAAACCATCTTTACAGAAATAAGCGTAACGTTAATAGTTCCCTTTTTGGTTTGACATGTCGTTGAGATTTCAAAACACATAAGCAGTTTGGCAAGATATGGCATAAGATGGAAGAAAGTTACTCCAATGCATTAACAAATACTGAACTGTGAACGTGTCTTCTTCGGAGAGAAAGCAAACATTTCCCCGTCTGTTTCTCAGTTTCTGTTTGAGAGAGTGGAAGGCATCTCCAGGGCGACCATCATTGATCTGGATGCTCATCAGGTGAGCCGATACCATTACCTCTTTCTGTGTCAATGCTCAGGAGCCCACATAGATTACCGCTCTTTCACCACTTCAGCCAATCAATACGGCTCCCTGCAGACCAAATTGGCCCTCACTGTCATCATCAGTGAAATGTAACAAAAAGAATCTCCTCTGGAAAACAGTTGAGTGCATACCAGCGTCAGATAATAACAGACCATCACTGGGTTATCTGCAGTAATGTCAGCGCCGTGTGTGTTTCGGCTTGTTTTCACTGAGATGTGTCTGAAGTGTCGTTACAATACACACACATTGCATAATATACGTTAGAGTTTGTCAAAAACAGGGCCTTAAAGTGGCTTCAGTTCTATTCTTGCTAATACATTTTTGATGTGATTCAGGGGCGAAATAACAAAAGCATTTTGATATATGTTACTTTATTTCCATTAACCAGTCTTTAAACACTGCTAGAGACCATACAGTGTTCCCTTTAGTGTTTACTTCCTGTCTGTCTTCTTCTTCTGCTGTTCCCATTCGTGTTTACTTCCTCTCTGTCTTCTTCTGCTGTTCCCTTTCAACACAGTCTCACGGCATTTCGTGTTATAGTCACGAAATTAATCTATTGATTCGTGTTCACCAACACGATTTCGCCATTTTTTTCGTGTCACACAGAACGATTTTAAAAGCAATGTAAATAATAACAAATTAGAAGGAAAAACACATTTAAAAAAATACAGATTTAAGTATTCTGACACAGAACGATTTTAGAAGCAATGTATTTATATTGGTAGTATGTTTCGTGCCTGCACCAAATAATAACAAATTAGAAGGAAAAAAAGATGACATAAAATACAGATGTCAGTATTCTGAGGCTCTGAGCCATTTCTTTTCCTCACTGACGGCAAAAAAACTCAGACATTATACAATTTAAAATAAAAGGGATAGGGTTAGGCTTAGGGTAAGATATTGAGTAAGAACATGTTTTTATGAACCACACAGCTTCTGGTCTTCCAAGACCCGACCGGACAAAAAGACGTGTTGCAGGCACGAAACATACTACCAATAGAAATACATTGCTTTTAAAATCGTTCTGTGTGACACGAAAAAAATGTGAAAATCGTGTTGGTGAACACGAATCAATAGATTAAATTAATTTTGTGACTATAACACGAAATGCCGTGAGACTGGGTTGTCCCTTTAGTGTTTACTTCCTGTCTGTCTTCTTCTGCTGTTCCCTTTAGTGTTTACTTCCTGTCTGTCTTCTTCTGCTGTTCCCTTTAGTGTTTACTTCCTGTCTGTTTTCTTCTGCTGAATTATCTGATGTCTTTTAACCTCTCGTCTTCTCTTGCTCTCTTTCTTTCCCGGGGACAGTTTAGCCATCATGAATCTAAAGTGTTGTTTTCTCCACAAATATAAAAAAGTTATTTCACAGGGTTTTCTGATGGATGAAACTTATGTGTTTTGTTCACTCACTACTTTCTGCGGATTGATATGACTGCACATAGTCCTTTGATCCTCCTTTACAACGGTCTGTTTTCCTTAGCGACGGTCTGCTCTCCTTAGCAACGGTCTGTTTGTAAAAAACCTGGAGTGTCCAAATTGACCAATCAGAATTGAGTATTCAACTAATCTGTGCAATCATGTCGCTTAAAGTCTTCCTGAGGGATTCTCATGATCTACTACACAAGTTATCAGGTGAAACACTGCAAAAGGTCCCAGCTAATAATCTATACTGTATATATTTCTTCAGTTTGACCCTATTTAACTTTGTGATTTATGATATTGGGCTACTGTCTATAAACCCTGTGTTGCAGAATGACAATAACTGATCCTTGAATCCTTGTATAACCTGGTGCATGTAAACAAAATCATGTCTCAATGTTCCCAAGGTTAATAGCTATTTTCCAGGAATACAATACAGCACTTTTTTCTTGAGCTCTAGCTTATGGGAAATGATGAGCCTTTACCTATTGACACATGCAGAGGATCAATAAAGATGCTGAGTACATAATTCATGGAGAACAAAGAGCAAAATCTGCATCCAGGTGGGCCTGAAGTACCCCTCTCAGCAGATAATGAGACACAGGGAAATATTGAGGATATGCAGTAAAATCCTAATTACAACCCTGAACATGACACTTAAAGTGCTCTCGTTTGCACATCAATTGAAATTATAGCCGAGGCAGCTGTGTTGCTTATTCACACAACTAAACAATAACGATCCATTCATGTAGAAATAAATAACAAGCTTTCCTTTTATTAAATGTTGAAGGTTGAAGGTTCTTTATTTTGTCATACGAACATAGCTAGAGTGTAGTTATGCCGATGAAAATCTTAGGTCACAGGCTTCTCCAACAGTGCAACACAATTGTTGTTATGTATCTTGTGTTTCCGCTCTGTTGTAGGGGAATGGACACGAGCGTGATTTCTTGGACGATAAACGAGTGTTCATCATGGATGTGTACAATCGCTACATATACCCCGAAGACAATTTTGCCAAAAGTGAGTGAAAGCACCACTCATTTCCTCATTCTTGCTTTTTAACCTTTGATTTTATAGACATTTGATAACCTTAATATATATAACGTGTTATATTGTACATAGGTGCAGGAGCGGATTTACCATGTGTGTTATCTGGAGTATCAAAGAACGGCTTTCTATATAATATATTCATATTATTTCCTTTAATTTAACATCAGTTTTAAATTTAATCGCAAAATAAAGACGTGATATGACTGCATATAGTCTCTCGATCCTCCTCTACAATGGTCTGTTCTCCCTAGCAACGTTTTGTTCTCCCTAGCGACGGTCTATTATCCCTAGCAACGGTCTGTTGGTGCCATGTAATAATGTTGCCTATATGCTTAGTGGGAGGCACTAGAAGTTAATATAAGATAAAGGCATTTGTGACACTGGCTCTTCGGGTCTACATCTCCTGATGTCTGGTTAGAAGTTGAGGTTTGAGTGGAGAGCGCTGCCTCCTCCAGCTCAAACCCTACATTACACTCTGGGCTATTTAAAGTCTGCTATGGCTTCCCTCTGAAGGACCACTCACGCCATTATAACTCAGCAGGAAAGCTGTCACGCAGCAGTCTGTGCGACACTATAATCGTTGCTTTTTACACTAATCTGTCAATGCATTGAAGCTGATCTGACAACCACATGCTGCCATTTGGTCCCAATTCCAACAAAACTCTGGGGACCAAACGTCACAATACTGCCTTTAAAGTTGTTCCCCTCCTTCGGCTCTCTTCTTCTCGACACGTAATTTAATTTTATAATTAATTTACGAAAGTTAAATGAATGTACTTTCTGGTTGTTTAAGATAAAACCCGCAGTTCCTTCTGCTTCATAAGACACATATCTTTCTCTCTACCTTCAAAGACCAAAGCTTACCATTTTTTGACATTATTTGGACTACCAAGAAATCAGTTTCATATTATTCCATTTTGCATTTGAATTCTGTTTGAAATGTGGAACATGTGGTCTCCTTATTAACCTTTTTCATTGTTTGCATTAATTATTAAAAATGTACATACTAGTTAATTATAAAAGTGCTGCAGATTTGAGTATTCTTAATGGAAAAAACACAATTTCTTACCTGTGGGATCAAAGGAATACAGTTAGCAAGCCTTTACTCTGTGTTGAAAGAAATCATCTGCAGCAATTATAAGCCTTCATGTAGTGTTCCCATGTTGTGTGTTAAACTCTGATTGCTACACTAATTTAAACCACAGCCAAGTGTGGTAGTAAGATCGACCGTTTACTGTCACACTTCCTCATTAACATGTTGGTGAAGACTGTAAATTAAGACAATATAAAATTACTCAGTGTGTTCCTAAACAAACACTCTTTTGTAAACAATTGTAAAACATGAAGGGCTTTCTTGCACTGCAGGTAGTAGTTAACATGACTACGAGCATTATTGCAATTACTGTATATACAATTGCCAGAGGTGGGAAGTAGTGGAGTACAAATACTTCGTTACTGTACTTAAGTACATCTTTCTGGTATCAGTACTTTACTCCACTACTTATTTTTCTGACAACTTTTTACTTCTACTTCTTACATGTTGAACACAAATACCTGTACTTTCTACTTCTTACATGTTGAACACAAATACCTGTACTTTCTACTTCTTACATGTTGAACACAAATACCTGTACTTTCTACTTCTTACATGTTGAACACAAATACCTGTACTTTCTACTTCTTACATGTTGAACACAAATACCTGTACTTTCTACTTCTTACATTTTGAACACAAATACCTGTACTTTCTACTTCTTACATGTTGAACACTAGTACCTGTACTTTCTACTTCTTACATGTTGAACACTAGTACCTGAACTTTCTACTTCTTACATGTTGAACACAAATACCTGTACTTTCTACTTCTTACATTTTGAACACAAATACCTGTACTTTCTACTTCTTACATGTTGAACACAAATACCTGTACTTTCTACTTCTTACATTTTGAACACAAATACCTGTACTTTCTACTTCTTACATGTTGAACACAAATACCTGTACTTTCTACTTCTTACATTTTGAACACAAATACCTGTACTTTCTACTTCTTACATTTTGAACACAAATACCTGTACTTTCTACTTCTTACATGTTGAACACAAATACCTGTACTTTCTACTTCTTACATTTTGAACACAAATACCTGTACTTTCTACTTCTTACATTTTCCAAACAGGCTGGTTCCTTTAGTTTGAATGTGTGTTTGGTGGCGTGATCATTATTATTTAGAGTCATTGCGTGCCTATTGATTTGAACACGATCCGTGTATCCATCATTTCCTGGTCTTCTCTAAAGAAGAGGGACCAATGAAAACGTTGTCATGTTGCCGTTGTTCAGCATGGAAACATTCATTAGCTAACAATGACATTATTGTTCTATTAATATAAAGGGAGGTCAGGTACTCTTTAAAACAGCTGCTAGTTATGGGTACTTTTTACTGAAGTACATTTCAAAGCCCTCTTTACTTTTCCTTGAGGAAAGAAGTTTAGTCAGTACTTCTACTTTTACCAGAGTATTTTTAAACACAAGTATCTGTACTTCTACTTGAGGAAAGGATGTGTGTACTTTTGCCATCTAAGTAAGTAATTAGATTTTAAACAAACCTCAAACTTTCTTTGTCTACAAATCTGTTAACAAGGCAAGGCATTCAAGGGCTTCAAGGGCAGCACACTTCTTATACATGGACATCCCAGGAGTATTTTGTTTAGGTTGGCTAACTGATGGCAGTAATTGTGGATATTATTTATGTCCATGTTCCTCCAGAAGCCATAAAGAGGAAGGTGGAGCTGGACTGGGGAACTGAAGACTCTGAGTATCTTCAGAAGGTGGAGCTCCACACAGAAGGATCTCTGAACGAGGTCAGACCCGATATCATCGTCTACAACGCGGGGACAGACGTCCTGGATGGAGACCCTCTGGGAGGACTCTCCATTTCTCCTCAGGTACTGAACCTGCTCCATCAGACCAGGGTTTGGATGGTCACTTAAAAAATTGGAAATACGTAAAAAATAATCTGTTTTCTGACTTTTTTTTAAGACTTTTTCAAATACTTTAAAAAGAATTCTCAGAAATATTCAGAAGGGTTTTTTCATCAGAATTTTCACAAATTTCCTCTGAATTTGTATATTTGTACTGTGGATTTAAAAATAACTTTAAAAAGGGGATTAATAAAGTGGATTTTTCTTCTTCTTCTTTGATTCCTGACTTTTTTCTCAGACAATTTCAGAATGTTGACGTTTTTTTCTCAGAATTTTGACTTTTTCTCAGAAATGTTCAGAATTCTGACTTTTTTCTCAGATTTTTTAAATAATTTTGACTTCTTTCCTCAGAATTTTGACTTCTTTCCTCAGAATTTTGACTTCTTTCCTCAGTATTTTGACTTCTTTCTTCAGAATTTTGACTTCTTTCCTCAGTATTTTGACTTCTTTCTTCAGAATTTTGACTTTTTTCTCAGAATTGTGTCTTTCCTTTTTCTCAGACATTTTCCATTCCTGACTTTTTTCTTAGAAATGTTCATAATTTTCCTCACAAATTTGTATATTTGTACAGTGTATATAAAAAATACCTTAAAAATGGGGATTAATAAAGTGGATTCTCCTTCTTCTTCAGGGCATCGTTAAGAGAGATGAGATTGTGTTCAGGGCTGCAAGGCGTCGAGGGATCCCGATCCTCATGGTGACATCGGGGGGGTACCAGAAGAGAACCGCCCGCATCATCGCTGACTCCATCCTCAACCTGCATCGGGAGGCCCTGATTGGTCCAGAGGCTCTGGAGGGGGAGGGGTCATCGTCTATGGTGACCAGCATGATGAGCAGCTCTGGATCTACTGGGTCAACATCCACTGCTGTCTGAGATGCACTAATCCTGCCACTAACACTAACATGTGTTTCCTCTGCAGGTGTAACATGTGAAGGCACTTTGTAATTCTTTCTTGTTTTTTCTCAGACATTTTCTGAATGTTGACTTTTGTCTCAGACATTTTCTGAATTTTGCCTTTTGCCTCAGAATTATGACTTTTTTCTGAGAATTCTGTCTTTTCTTTTCTCAGAAATGTTCAGAATTTTTACTTTTTTCCTCAGAATTTTTACTTTTTTCTCAGAATTCTGTCTTTTTTTTCAGAAATGTTCAGAATTCTGACTTTTTTCTCAGACATTTTCAGAATTCTGACTTTTTTCTCAGACATTTTCAGAATTCTGACTTTTTTCTCAGAAATGTCTCACTAATTCTACCTCTAACACTAACATGTGTTTCCTCTGCAGGTGTAACATGTGAAGGCGCTGAAGTAACTTTATATTGTGGAGTAATTATGGTGTCAGGTTGTTGCTGCACACAGAAAGGGGTTTAATTTAACTCAATACCAGAGGGCGTTACCCAGTGCTTGATTGCACATTAAATCGAATAAGATTGGCATTTCTTTTTTACATTTTTACTCTATAGGTTGGCCATGAATCAAAGGGAATAATTCTAGAAAGAGAATAATTGTACTGCAACAACAGCACTATTCTGACTGCAGTAATTTCATTAATAGTCATTGTAAAGTCGGAGAATGAAGGGTTTTATGTTTAATGTATGTTCGGGAAGCTTTTAGGAAGAGTCTTCTTTCATCTCAGGAAATGGAATAATGTCATATGTGAAATATATAAAATGCTATGGTATTGTAAACAGGTTTGAGGTTCTTTTAAATATGTGGAAATTATATTAATTATCCTCTTAATAGTTGTAGAGGTGAAACACAAGAAGAAAAGCACCTTAAAACTGTAGCTATCGAACATAATCTAATGATTTTTTGTATTATTAATTGTATACGGAAGAGGATAAAGGCCACGTGTTGAAAATGTTTGAGATCTGACCAAAAGTTACAAGAAGAGGAAGAAGACCGGGATAAAAGTCAGAATTCTCAACATTTCGGAGAAAAAGTCAGAAATCTGAAAATGTCTGAGAAAAAAGCTAGAAATTTGAGAAAGAATTCAAAATGTCGGAGAAAAAAAGCTAGAATTTTGAGCAGTAAAAAATATTCACGTGGCCCTTATTCTCATCCCTAACGGTGTAAACATGTTTTGATCTCTAGATATTTTTTGTTATCATTAAATAGTTTATTCTTCATTATCCAGTGTTTCATTCATCGAGGTTACGAGGTACTTTGTCTACCTATAATCTGTGCCGTTCGTGTTTAACAGGGAGTTGCCAATGATTTTACTGAAGGTTGTACTGTACCTCATACAGTACTGTTCTCCTAATTAAGAAAATATGTTAATGTGGCTGTGAATGTTTTAATAATGAAACTCTGTCTGTGTTCTGGACATGTTTGAAGCAGTTTGGACACATTCATAATGAAAGTGTGTAAGCAGTGTCAGTGCTAGTGAAGCCTTTGATCCGATGTGGTGCTTTTTAATGTGTCTACCTTTTAATTAGAACATCTCACTTTATTGTAAGCAGTCCTTAATATGAGATCACAGATTCCAGATCAGCAGCTCCTTCCTGTCAGACGATGTTGCCAAAATTAACACTGTGTTCAAAGCTGTACTGTATTTTTTTAACTGCGTGTCTGTGGTTTGTGCTGACATTAAAAACGACTTCTATGCATTCACACTGATATTAAAAACATCCGTGACAACTAATATATCTTTTTTGGATGTTTTTTTTTTTTTAAATCTGTGAATTTCTTGTGTAACGCCCATGCTAAAAGTAGAGTATGTTTGGAAAACCAAGATAATAAAACTGTTTTAATGTAGTTAAATGGAAAGGTTGAAGCAACATATGACACAGAGCGCTGTCAGAGTATATGAGCCAAACCTGAGGAAAGGCGAAGAAAACAAGATGGAAATTGTTAGAAAAATCTCACTGGTCCCCGGCTTGAGCTTCAATCTCAGGATCCATGTATCTCTGATCCTCTCCAGAATGGAAGTAGTCATCACATACAGAGCATCAACTAGTTCCTGAACAGTGTCCTTCACATGCTGATATACAAGAGAGGGAGTTACACAGTCACAAGATGGAGGAATAGAAAGCAGTATTCAATGTTTACTTCAGATTAGCTCCACGTCAGAAATGAGCATGCTTGTCATATGTCTATCTCCATAGAGGCTGAATCATCATGTTAATCACATAGCTATCATATGCCTAAAATAGTCCTGATGCTCTTCTAGGTAATCATACATCCTGTCATGTAGACAGCTACAGTTGGGATACCTTTGTTATCATGTGTACTCTCATATTGGAAGAGGACATTCATTATTTTCACAACAGAAATATGATCAGATAAGAATTAGCTCAGGTGTTTAAAACGAAATTAGCAATTACTGACATGCTTTGCATAATGTGAGATCTGGATTAGTTCCCAATACAAGCTGTTATTTATGCCTGTCCATCATCAGCTAATTCACAATACTGTCTTCCAGTCACATAGAAACCTTGTCTTTAAACAAAAACACAGAGCTGACTTAGAAAAACTAATTTTTTACAAACTTCGATTTAAAGGAGGAATTCAATTAAATAATTAAAGTCTCAATGCGGCCTCCTGCCTCTGATAACCGTGGTTTGTGGGGAAAGTAGAAGTAGAGCAGATCTGTATTGTTTTCACAGCTCCAGTGTTTTAGAAAGGGAAGACTATTGCACTCAGTCTGACTCAATATGAAGATATATTTTTGACAGTATGCCGAAGGGAGTTAAGCAAGACTCTGCTTCAGAAGCGTTTTCGGGTGGCAGAAGCAAAACGAAAGGCTTGAGGAGAAACAGGTTACATGAAACGGGAAAACATACAAAAATAAAGTAACTGTATTCCTTTACAGTTACATAAAAAAAGACGTAATCAGAATACTGGTACAGTCAAGAAAATGGAGATAACTATCAGGTTTAATTCCATTATTCTTTATTTTAAATTCCTATATTTTTATATTGGCAATAAATTATACTTAATTCCATCATAGGAGGGGTTTTATTTAGATAAAAGTTCAAAGCTGGATCATACACTTTCTCCATGCTCATATTTAAAAGAAACATTCCTTGATCCCTTACTGTGTTTCTTGGCGCTGGTGCACGGTCATCGCCCTGTTTTCCAAGGCTACAAATTAAGTTGAGACAGTTTACTTTAAAGGGTTTCCTTGTGTCCGCAATTCAACCAAAAATATTTTCCACGGTTACTGTTATGCACCCCTATTTCCTCAGAATAAAGGATGACCTTGAGGAAGATGTATGTAGGAGAGATGCAGACGGGAAACATCAAACCACAGAGACGTGGCTCCCTGCCTAGATTTAAACCAAACAACAATCCATCATTATCTCACAGAGACACACCGCAGTGTTTCAGTGTGTAGAGAAAGAGATAGCTTTTACTGCAACAACATTATTAGTAAATCTGTTTAATCTGAGAGATTCTCCTTCCTCTTTCTGGGAAGATTGCATTTGTAGGACGTTTTTAAAGGTGTATAAGCCTGCCTCCAAACAGAAGTTAATGAAGAAGTCATGAACTTAATGTACTGTAATGCCCTTGTGCAAGACACTTAAACCATGCATGGCAGTTTGTGAGTGTGTGTTTTATCAATAGCTTTGCTAGTAAAATGTGAAGATCAAATGTGAGTAGAGTTATGCTACACAACAAAAACAGTAGTAGTAGAAGAAGTGCATTCCTTGTTGTCTCCCTAATTGTAAAGCATTAAAAAAGACAAAATTTTGAGAAAAAGCCAAAACGATGAGGAAAAAAGTCAGAATTCTGAAGAGTAAAAAGAAAATTCCACCTTTTTTTCTCGGTTTTCCGATTTTAATCTAAAAATGTACGTAGCCCTAATCCTCTTCCGTTAAAGTGTAAACATGTGTTAACCTCTAGATATTTTTTTGTGATAATTAAATAGTTTATTATTCATCATACAGTGTTTTATTCATCAAGGTTAGCCGTTGATACATTTTTGCCTGTAAAGCATTAGCCTATTAATGTATGAAAAGTAACATCATTTTGGGATCAAATTGAGGTTATCCATAGTCTGGACACAGAGGAAGCAGTTCCAGCAGAGGGCCCCAACTGTCCCGTTCCTTGGCCAAATAAACCAGCTCTCACTGGGGGATTCAAGGAGCTCCAACTGGTCCTGGATCAGCCCCTCAGTCTCCTCCCAGCATCTTTACCAGGTTCTCAAACCACCTCAACTGGCTCCTTTCAACGCCAAGGAGCAGCGGCTCTAACGGTGGTTGACAAGCGACTAAATAAACTACTAAATGCCATCAGCCCAACATCAGCCGCCTTTAGCTTAGCGGTGGTGACGTGAAGTCATGTGACCGTGCTGTAGTTCCTTTATAGCCCAACATCAGCCGCCTTTAGCTTAGCGGTGGTGACATGAAGTCATGTGACCGTGCTGTAGTTCCTTTATAGCCCAACATTAGCCACCTTTAGCTTAGCGGTGGTGACATGAAGTCATGTGACCGTGCTGTAGTTCCTTATAGCCCAACATTAGCCGCCTTTAGCTTAGCAGTGGTGACGTGAAGTCATGTGGCCGTGCTGTAGTTCCTTTATAGTCCAACATTAGCTGCCTTTAGCTTAGTGGTGGTGACGTGAAGTCATGTGACCGTGCTGTAGTTCCTTTATAGCCCAACATTAGCCGCCTTTAGCTTAGTGGTGGTGACGTGAAGTCATGTGACCGTGCTGTAGTTCCTTTATAGCCCAAACATTAGCCGCCTTAGCTTAGTGGTGGTGACGTGAAGTCATGTGACCGTGCTGTAGTTCCTTTATAGCCCAACATTAGCCGCCTTTAGCTTAGCGGTGGTGACGTGAAGTCATGTGACCGTGCTGTAGTTCCTTTATAGCCCAACATTAGCCACCTTTAGCTTAGCGGTGGTGACATGAAGTCATGTGACCGTGCTGTAGTTCCTTTATAGCCCAACATTAGCCGCCTTTAGCTTAGTGGTGGTGACGTGAAGTCATGTGACCGTGCTATAGTTCCTTTATAGCCCAACATTAGCCGCCTTTAGCTTAGCAGTGGTGACATGAAGTCATGTGACCGTGCTGTAGTTCCTTTATAGCCCAACATTAGCCACCTTTAGCTTAGCGGTGGTGACATGAAGTCATGTGGACCGTGCTGTAGTTCCTTTATAGCCCAACATTAGCCTTCCTTTAGCTTAGCGGTGGTGACGTGAAGTCATGTGACCGGTGCTATAGTTCCTTTATAGCCCAACATTAGCCGCCTTTAGCTTAGCAGTGGTGACATGAAGTCATGTGACCGTGCTGTAGTTCCTTTATAGCCCAACATTAGCCACCTTTAGCTTAGCGGTGGTGACATGAAGTCATGTGACCGTGCTGTAGTTCCTTTAGAGCCCAGCGTTAGCCACCTATAGCTTAGCGGTGGTGACGTGAAGTCATGTGACCGTGCTGTAGTTCCTTTATAGCTTAAAGTTAGCTTTTCATGTTGTTAATATGTGGAGATTATCCCGCTGAATAGAACCTGTAAGTATCATAATGTGTGTTTGCCACAGAGCTTATTTTCTGCAATATTCCAAAATCACATGGAAACGTCCCATTGCTTTTTATCGAGGGAGACCTTGCAATGCTAACTTCCAGATTAGCTTACAAAAATACGTGATCTCTGCACCACTTTTTTGTTTGCATGTCTGTGGTCGTGTAGCTTTAGAAAGATGCAGAGGCTTTTGGGGTTTGGTCAGAATCCAAGATATCATGTTGCGTCTGTCCATCCAATTTCATTTGCTTGTTCCACGCCCGCAGCATACTGTGTTTGCGTGCCAAGTTATTAAATATCTGGCATCCCTCAGTTTTAAAAATGGGCGTTGACAGGATCACGCAGGCCTAAATGTAAAAAACATGAACAGAAATGTGAAAGCAGTGTGTAGCATCGTTGTCAGAGAAGTACATTTTCCTTAATCTCTGGTGACATATTATCGTTGTTTTATGGTAAATCAAAGTAGTTGTTTCAGATATAGATCCTTAGAGTAAAGAGAATAAGTGTCTGTTGTTACTTTAACATTAAATCTACATAATTCTTCCTAAATCTGTCCCATATGAGAGGGAAGGTTTAACAACAGAATGGTGTCTCTCCTGACTCAGCTGGCATATTGTCAGTGAAACCATGAAAGCAGCCGATGCCCCCTGCTGTTTCTGCAATCTTTGAAAAATCCCTCATAATGCCTGGAATAGAGGGACAGTCAGGGACTTTTACCAGGTTATCAAAGCCACTGCTGATGCTGGAATACCTTGAAGGAAGAGATGTCGAAAATTAATGCTTCAAGCTCTTCTGTCCTTGTGTAGCTCATCCTCTTGGGGATTTAAACTCGCCTTTTTGTTCCAGGCATCATTAATGCTCACATTGCAGAGTTGGAGGAGAGGTTAAAGATCTGATACAGTCTAGAGAAAAGTCTCTACAGACTTCCCGTATGTCTCTGCTTTCAACTTAAAACTGGAGAAAGGAGACTCAGTCCGTGGAGAGTATCAGCAAGTTGAGGGACTCTGAATATCTGCTGATACAAAAGGGTTTCTGGATCACATGATGTACTCTGAGAACATGCTTCAAGGTACTTTATTACATAACTTAATATATCCGTTTTCCATTACATTACAGCACAAATGGTTGAGCTTTCGTGACAAAGTTGTAAACCCTGACCCCTCACCCCTCCAGGTGGCATT